GAGAGAGAGAGAGGGTCTTTCCCGCTCGAGCTCGGCTGGAAATGCGAGGAGCTGCAACTGCAACACCGCTCGCCACGAGTCAAGGGCTGACATCAGGCAATCCAGAAGGGTTGCAGCTCCGCCCTGCATTGCCTGCCCTCCAGATCGTGCCCATTGTCCGCGTCCGTCGTCCATTCATCGCCCATCCATCAAGACGCAAAAGCACGGTCAGCTGAACTTATCTGCCTGTCTCATCTTAGGGCTGGATCCAATTTTCTTTTCAGCCAAGAGTGTATCGCATGGAACGCGTAGGTGCAGCGAGCGCAGGAGTGGATCGAAAGAGCGAGCTGTGTGACTTGATCGATCGGCATGCGGCATGAGGCACAGCGACGGTTAGCCGACGAGCTTGGCTGGCCTCGCCAATGCGTGGTGGTGCATAGAAAGCGGCAGTCCATGCGGGGAGGCAGCTTGGGGACGATGCGGGGAACGGCGCATCCTCGGCCGGGTTGCGATGGGCTAGGGTCCAGTAGAACGAGTCAATGCAGAAGCACGGCACCATGCAGCCACAAGGCATCGCTCGCATGGTACCGTACCGTCAAGACCCTGATGGCGGCGGCGCATCTTCGGTCGCGTGGGCTTTGTCGAGCCGCTGGACGGAGAACCAGCCTGGCGGGCGCTCAACGGAAGATCCTCGGCGAGATTCAGGCCATCCATCTGGCAGCGGCAGTGGCAGTGGCAATGGCAGTGGCAGACGATCCATCTAGCCGAGGCTCCCTCCATCCTTGTCCGGCTTCCGCGCTGTCGACCAAGGTCGAGTCTCGGCGCAGCTTCGCTCGGTCGTGCGAAATGCGAATCCAGCTCGAGGCCGCGACAAAGCCGCTCTCGGCCGTCAGCAACGCCGGTCAAGTGGTGCGCTTTCGTCGGCCTTTCGGGCGATCCTCGGTCGTGTGTCGGCAATCCGGTGTGCCTCGTGACCCGCACATCCGCCTTGTTGTTCGCTCTAACAATCAAAAACGCTGCGAGTTACGCCGAGACCAACAGTGCTTCCTCGTTGCAGCGTCGGAGCAACTCAAAGTGTCCAGCACAACCAAGCCGGCTGAGCTACGGAGCAATCACGCCGCCGCTGTACCATTGTGACCCCCCCTTCTTCCCCACGCCCGGCTTCTTTGGCTTGGCGTGTGGGGCAAAATCCGACCGAAGTGGCCAGAGGGCGCGCGGGCTTCGGTGGATCTGCCAAACGCTCTGTTCTCTGCCACCACCGGCGTCCATTCGAGCCGCACTCTCCTTTTCGCCGCCCAAGAAAAAGGTCGCCGCACAGGCCAGCCGCCCCCCCTCCGCTTCGACCCTCTCCGACTGAGCCCTTTCGCCCCCGCATTCATCCAACAGCTCTTAAACCCAAGCTCCGCCCTCCGACTCTACCATCACCGCCCCCCCCCCCCCCCCCTTCCCCCCCCCCA